GTGTGTGTGTGTGTTTGTGCGTACGCGCGGCGCACCACCTTCTCGGGCACGGTGTATATAGGCGCAACCCACTTAATAGCACCATTTATGTCATTATAGAGGTAGAGTGAGGTACAACCACAATAAAGTATCAGTATTAACCTCTCTTAAGTCGGCCATTTAAATGAGGAATAGCGATCCAGAGATATCCCAGTTTATCATTTAGTTTAGTTTTTAGACACAGAATTACATCTTTCAAAAAATACAAATGACATTTGATGAGAAAATGCCTTTGTGAATAAGTCCAAATAGTTTGGGGTTTGGTGTTTGCCCAGTTGTGCACATGTACCTTACATATTACCATATGGCATGCTTTTGGTTTTGGGGCTGACCAAAGATGATTTTTTTTTCTCCCTCCAGTGACATGGCATGATGTCACGACTTTCAATCCGTTTTGGAATCGATAGCTCGAGTTCACAGACCATTAAAGAGTTCATCTGCAAGGTCAGCATGATCTCATGCGGATCTAATTAATTGCCAATTACTTTAATTATACACTGTCTCTGTTTGGGAACAAATAGGTTGCACCTTTATGATATCAAGTGTGGCTGCAATCTCACTGTATTCCCTCCACACACACACGTTCTAGCAGTACAATACAGAGAATGGTAACAAATCATGATTTGCTGTTTTTGTATCTGGCTGCTGCTCTATTTTTCTTGATATATGACTCAGTATCTAAATATGCCTCTATAAAATGTTTATGTGATAACAGCAGACATGCAGTGATTTTATTGACTTTTAGTGCCTGGATGGCATGCGTTTATGTGGCCCTTTTTGGTCAAATCCATGAGCAAGAAAAAAAGAAAAATAGAAAAGTTGATTAAAATTGCACCCACTGAGATGAAGGCTCGGACAAAAGTCTTTCTTGATACAGTCGTTCTCCATCCAAGTTAAATCAAGTGAAAACATCCTTTTGGAGCCTTCAGCAATTACCAAGTGATGAAATTTACGCGCTGCAACAGAAACGTCTCAAACAGGCATTAATACTAAGCACTTAACATATTAATAATTGTCAGCACACAGGGAGAGAGAGAGGGAGAAACCTGGGCACTCTCATATTAGAGCTGTCAGTCGGGTGCCCAAGCGGGAGAGGGAGGAGGGGAAGTTTTTCATTCATTTTCCAGTGCTCGGTACAATGGTCAAAACACAATTAAAATATATAAAATCTTTAATGACTATATCCAGCCTTGGCAATTTAAGTGAACATTGATTAATGCGACTTAATTTAAAGAGAAAAGGTGCGCAGTAAGGATTGAGAATAAAGCTCGTTATAATTAATGTCCTCGGCACACAGATCCGGGGTGCTGACTGCACTGCAAAAAATATCCACTAAATGGAGCCTTTCATTTAGTGCTCAGTCTCAGAAACCTTTTTCTTTCTCTCTGTAGAAACAGTGACACATACACAGGCTATTGCTTCTGCTAGAGTAACTTGCGTTTAACTTGTTAGACGAGGTTTTTTTATAGTTTTTTTTTTTACACAATTTGACTAATATGGTTTCCTTTTCCCGCATTATTTCAAGATAGGAGTATATTGTTTCGAGATCAGTGCTGAAACAAGTCAGACTGCAGCCAGCGCATCTCAATTCCAAAGTTTCCTCACGTGTTAAACAAACACCAGGACCGAATGTGAAGCTACAACAAGCTCGGACATTTTTTGCAGCGTGCCCCCGCTCTCTCACTCAGTGGTCGTTTGAAACTCTGACACGAAAGGAGATGTCCACGATTCACACATCTTGAACCAGATCAGGTTAATATCAAAAGTGATAAATCGTCCCAAACTTTTTCTGGCACTTGCTGCCGGCAGATTTCGGGGCTGTGCGCATGTGCGAAGGTGTCCAGACTGACAATGCTGGAGAGATAGCGCGTTTGGATTGAGAAACCCAGAGAAAAAGGACAGAGAAAAAACAAAAAGGAGGAAAAAAGATCCAAGAAAAAATCCAAACAAACCCACGCCGAGAGACTGGCACCATGAGGTCCAAAGGCAGGGCACGGAAACTGGCCACGAGTAGGTGCAACATCCCTTTCTTTTTTTTTTTCCTTTTGAAACATGCCATCTTATATACCTATAGACTGTCGCTGTTATCACTGCGTTTATTAATAGTTTGTGTAGCGATTTCATTTCCACCCGAAATCCATAATCCTCACTTTCACCAGAGAAGAGTGACAAAATGGTGATATGGTCGCGAAGAGAGCAGAAAATGAAAACGCTGTCACCAGAAGAGTGTAAACTTTAAAGTTTAGGGAGCGATGGAGGAACTTTGTGCAGGGCGTCCGCTCCAGCTTTGGATTCGCCCGTTGCATGTAGTGGGCGCTGTAGTGTGCTGTCGTGCATTGTAGGGTGAAAAAGCCCATGTCCCGTGCAGCGGCAGTCGCAATGCAATCGCTGCACACTGCTGCTGCGGGGCTGCTGGTCACTTCAGTTTGGCGGGGAGCAACTTTGTGGGGGGAAAAAAGGCAGGTTGATGGAGATGGAGGAAAGAATGAGGAGAAAAACGAGGATTTAGACAGACATGGTAAATGTTTTCAGGGAAGGGCACCTTGTTGTGTTTGTGACTCTGTTTGTGTATGGGAGTCGTCACGCCGTTCATTCCGAGCTCTTATTAATGCGTAATGTGTGTTGATTGTTAAATGATATGCCACTTTTAAAAAAAAAAAGAAACAAAAAACTAATTCAGACTTTGATGTTTTAATTCTTTTGGTGCACGAGTGTTACAGCTTTGTAGACTTTAGGTCTGCGTGTAATTTGATTATTGCAGGAGGCAGGCTTCATACTCTGTTAGCAACATTCATTTAGGATCAAATAATAACTTAAAATAATCCATGAGTTTGATTAAATTAAGTGTAATATCGAAACACTCTTGTCATTAAATCGATTTAATTACTTGGGCGCAAGCAACTATACGAATTTATGCAGGAGATGATTGATATGGCTATTCATGCATTGATTTGCTACAATAAATTATATTAAGAATTATATATATATTTTTTTTTTCCCTAAAGCTGTTTCCTTGGTGATTTACGTAAATTCCTGTGCTGTGTTGCTGACCTTCATTTGAGTGTTGACTCTTTTATTTGTTGAGATTCTAACTGTAAAACGCACACCATTAATGCAGAATTGTATTGCAGATGTTTTAGGATTAATTTAGGCAGGGGGGAGGAGGGGGGGGGGCAGTGTATATGGCCAAGGCCTGCGGTATTTTAGGGCTTGCAGAAATTGGATATAAGGGACGTTATGATATTCAGTCAGTTCAGAGGTTTACACTCTGTTTTGCACATGGACTACCTGTGACTTTGCATATACAAATACAGCTAAATACAAGAAATAACGCCATAAAACATAAGTCTAAGAATAAGGTTCTGGAGAAGTTGTCAGTTAGAAGCAAGGCACTTAATAATTAGTTTTCGTCCCAGAAGTAAAATATAGCTTAATACAGTTTACTCAGCAAGTATTAATGTAGGCCTATATAACTGCGTTATTGTGATTCTCATGAATGTTTAGAAAATACTTTATATACTGTGACAGGTATAAGAAAACGGGTGCGCGCACACACACACACACACACACACACACACACCGTCACCATCAACAACAGGAAAGAAAACACTTGATTTTCCTCGCAGCGGCCTTCCAGCTCTCTCTCTCCCTCTCGACTGTGAGACACAACTTTGTTCTCGAACAAAGTTCTTAACCGCTAAAGAAAGGCGCACAAAGGGGAACACGCAACCACGGCATCAACTCCCCTACATACTTACAGAGCATTAAAGCCATCCTGAGAATATAAGAGGGATAATTCCTCGCGTATTTAACGATTATTATTCTCGAGATGGAAGACGGAGATTTCTACGTCTTAAGTCAGAATTGGGGGGGGGGGTGTTTCTCTGTCCCCGGAGGAGCGGGTCCGATCTGGCCCCCAGCCAGGTCTGCACAGTGTCAACAGTGAATATTTAAATTCCCAAACCCCTCATAAGAGCTCTGCTGGTAAATGCGTTCAGTGTGTGCCTCCCCGCCTGTCCGGAGAAGTCGTGTTAAAACGGGCATATACGGGGCCTCCTCGCAGAACAGCCGTGTGATAAAAAAAAAGGAAGAAAAAAAGGGGGTGGATGTAATAGAGGAGGTGATGGAGAGGTGGTAAACGTAAGAGTGATTGATGGAGGTTGACTGATTAGTCCGCACGTCCAGATGTAATGCGGTGCGCCACAAAAACTCGCTTTTGCTTCCCAACTAAGTATAGCCAAGGCGTGCAGCAGGCCGCACCCCGCGGTGAATTGTGGGCTACAGAAGGGTGGAAGAGTGGGTGGGGGGGCTTGATGATCCAAAGCTAGCTTGGTTTAGGCCTAATTAGAGGTCCACTTAGAATATTTAAGTCTCAATAAAAACCCCTTGATTATGATGTGTTTAGAGGTTTTTGATCATTTGTAATAATTACAACGACGATTAATCGAGCGTCATGTGGAATGATACTGTGATGTACAGACCTATAGTAGGCCTACAGCTGAACCGACTATAGAACATCTTTAATTCTAGTTTTTTAACACGGTGTAAAAAAAAAAAAATTTATATATAGCCCACTGAAAGGAAAAGTTCCATGAGAATTATCTGGAAGCCTAACAAGTGGCAATAGAGCATAGAAATCCAGTTTGCGTCCCAAGGCTCACACTTGTGCATTCGATAATCATTTTTCACATTTACCACAATATTCCGCCAGTCACCACTCACTGATGCGCCTGTTTCCATAAACGAGCCTCACGTCGCTGATT